TAGAATTACTTATTCTAGTTCTGTGAAAAATGCTGCTGGTATTTTGATAAGGATTGCACTGAATATGTAAAGCTACAGATATAGCCACTGGGCAGTGTAGTCCCTTTAACAACATTAACTCTTCCAATCTGTGAGCATGATATATTTTCCCCTCTACATCATCTTCAACTTCTTCTGTCAGTTTCTTTCATTGCAGTTTTCTGAGCACAGGTCTAATACCTCCTTGGTTAGTCATTCCTCAGTATTTTATTCCTTCTGATACAATTGTGAATGGGATAATTTTCTTAGTTTCTCTTTCTGATAGCTCATTGTTAGTGTATAGAAAAGCAACAGGTTTCTGTGTATTAATTTTGTATCCTGCCACTTTAGTGAATTCACTTGTTAGCTTTTTGGTGACATCTTAAGGAATTTCTTAAGAAAATGGCATGGTATGGCATGTCAAGGTGTCACATCATCTGCAAACAGTGACAGTTTTACTTCTTCCTTTCCAATCTGGATATCTTTTATTTCTTTTTGTCTGAGTACTGTGACTAGGATTCCCAATACTATATTGAATAAAAGTGGCAAGAGTGGACACCCTTGTCTTATTTTTCTGATCTTAGAGGAAATTCTTTCAGTTTTTCACCATTATTTATGATGTTTACTGTGGGCTTGTCATATGTGGCCTTTATTATATGGAGGTTTATTCCATCTATACCCACTTTGTTGAGAGTTTTTATCATAAAAGTATATTGAATTTTGTCAAAAGATTTTTCTGCATCTATTGAGATGATTTTTATTCTTCATTAATGATTTTTATTCTTCAATTTGTTAATGATTTCTGTTCTTCAACTTGTTAATGTGGCATATCACATTGATTGATTTGCAGATATCTTTGTATCCCTGGGATAAATCTCACTTGATCATGAGCTTTCAGTGTATTTTTGAATTCACTCTGCTAATATTTTCTTGGGTATTTTTGCATCTATATTCATCAATGATATTGACCTAAAACTTTCTTTTATTTTGTAAAGTTTTTGTCTGGATTTAGTATCAGGGTGATGCTGGCCTCTTAGAGAGAGTTTAGAAGCATTTCCTCCTCTTTGATTTTTTGGAATAGTTTGAGTAGGATAGGTATTAACTCTTCTTTAAGTGTTTGGGGACTTCCCTGGTGAGCCAGTGGTTGAGAATCTGCCTTCCAATGCAGGGGACGTGGGTTTGATCCCTGGTCGGGGAACTATTGATAAGATCCCGCGTGCTGCAGGGCAACAGGCCCCCAAGCTGCAGCGCCCACGGGCCACGACCAGAGAAAGCCCGCACACTGCGAGAAGACCCAGCACAACCAAAACACGAAGTCTGGTAGAACACAGCTGTGAAGCCATCTGGTCCTGGGCTTCTGCTTGCAGGAATTTTTCAAAAATTGTTGATTCAAAAAAAAAAATTTTTGTTGATTCAACTAATTAAAGGTAACTGGTCTGTTCATGTTTTTCTATTTCTTCCCGGCTCAGTCGTGGGAGATTGTACATGTCTAGGAATGTGTCCGTTTCTTCCAGGTTGTCCATTTTATTGGACATGCGTGGGGGCACACAGCGCCGACCAGTGAGACTCATGCCGGCTTCCCGGGGCCAGGGGGCCCCCAAGCAGCACAGCATCCTGGCCTGTGTGAAAGTCCGCTGACCCTGCCCAGCCCCACAGCTTCACTCTGAGAGAAGTGATTTCTGGCTTCTGCAGTCACAGGCCCAGGACCTGACCTCTCCTGAAGAGCAGGGCCGTTGGTGGGAGGGGGAGACGCTGAGAGCCGACAGGGGTCCAGGTCTCCTCCCAGTCTCCCTCCAATAGTGCTCAGTGCCAGCTGCCCTGGGTCAGAGGTGCTTTACTTCCGTCTCTCTCTCTCTGGATGGCATTCTATGGAAGCTGACGTTTCCTGGAAGTTATGAATAGCTTCACCCTGAAGGGAACGGTTTGTAGTCATGGTTCACAGGAACTTGGGAAACCCTGCAGCTCAGACGTCCCGAGGTTGGTGGCACCCTGATTTCCTAAGCTCGCTGGGAAACGGGGCACTTGTTTCTCCCTGGCTGACCTCCCTCTGCCCTGCATCACCCAGTTCTGAGAGCAGAGCGGTGCTGGAGGGCATGGCCTCGCATCTGACACCTGGGTCCAAACCACCCATGCTGATGTTTGGGGGGCCACCTATGGGGAAGGGCTCCTCACTGCAGGGGTGCCCCCGTCCCATCTGAGATCAGAGGTCCCAGTCCAGGCGTCGAAGGGCCGAGCTCCCTCCAGAGGCTCCAGGGAGGGATCCTTGCCCCCCAGCCCCCCATCCCCCCGCCGCCGCCTCCAGCTCCTGGTGCCGCATCCTTGAGCCCTGTCTCATAGAAGCCTCACTCCAGTCTCTGCCTCTGTGTTCACACGCCTTCTCCCAGTGTCTCCTCCGTGTCCCCGTTTTCTCTCACAAGGACACCGGACATTAGATTAGCCCCTGTTCCAGCCTCACCTGAACAGCTCACATCTGTAAAGACCTAGATTCCAAACAAGATTCCATCCTGAGGTTCCCAGTAGACGTGAGTTATGGGGCCACACCCTTCAACCCCATCACAGCTTGCAGTTCGTCACAAAACATGGAACCTGGGGTTTATTGTAAAACCCTGGTTCATCATGAAACACTGAGTTTCAAGACTTGTTGCAAGAATTAAAGGTGCTAATACAGATCAGGGCAAGGACTGGAGCTGGCCAAGCCTCCTCTTTCCGTCACAGCATCCCCGGCCCCGGAGAGGGAGGTCTGGGGGCGCCCGGGGGTGCGCTCCTGTGGGTGGGCTCTATCCTGGTACAGTCACCAACAGTCTCTCCTCCGGGAAGGAAACCAGAGGCCAGCTAGCAAGCTAGAGCTAGTCTAGGAGACGCCTGAGCCTCCATCCAAGATGCTGACCAGGCCAGCGGGCCCCCTGGAAAGGCCCTACAGTCCAAGGGGGGGGGAACGGGGGCTGACCCACCAGGCCCCCACTATCAGGAGACACCCCCACCTTGCTCCCGTTCCCCTACCCCGATATGCCCACTGCACCCCTGAGATGAGCGGTTTAGTCGCTTAGAATGTCGATTGATGATTTTGCACCCCTTTGCTAGAGGCACAGGGCACCCACAGCCCGCGGGGTACCGACGCCCGTGTGGACTCAGCCAGGAGGACTGTCCTGCGCCCTCCCTGCTCAGGCCCCCTCTGTACTCAGCCACACACCCAGCACCGACCTTCCCATCGCTCAGCTCGCTGTAGCCTGAGGGTGTGGAGGGAAGTGCCCTGGGAGATATAAAATGTGGGAGGTGGGAGGTTGGGTCCTGCAGGCCTTCCCATCTCACTGTCTGCATGGAGCCCCAGTGCTGCTGGGCCTTGCCCCACCCCAGGGGTCAGGTCACTTTCCCGTCCTGGGGGTTATCACGACTGTTGTTACTGTCGTTGTCGTTTTTGCTACACTAACTGGGCAGCAGGTGCTTGCAGAGCCCTCGATACTGACCAGGTTCCCCCTCGGAGCTCGACCTGAACCCCGAGTCACCATCACCCCAGCCTGCAGAGGGTGAGGTGACTGCAGAGATCCCGTCACCCAAGGCCACGGTCACATGGTTTGGAGGAGCTGGTGCCCGAGGCAGAAGCTGGAGGAACCAGGCGGGACCGCAGCCTGCCGGGAGGCCTTGCCCAGCAGAGTGGGGTGGGCAGAGCAGGGGTCGACAGGGAGCTGCCAGGAAGAGCTGCCCGCAGGACAGGGGAGAGGGGAACAGGTGACACGGGCAGACGGCCACTCCCTGGCCATGTCCCTGGGTTCTGGCAGGCGTGGGGCTCTCTGGCCATTGGCTGACCCACAGCCCACCCTCTAGGACACAGCTGTCCCCAGTGCTGGCTCTGACCTGTCCTTGTCTAAGAGGCTGACCACAGAAGTGTTCCTGGCGCTGGCAGCCAGCCTGGACCCAGGGCCCAGACACCACCCTGCAGACTTCTGGGGCCTACCAGGAACCGTTCAGGCCCAGAGGGGGCCTTCCTGCTTGGCCTCGGATGGAAGAAGGCCTTCTATTGTCCTTGTAGCGGAAGTCCCCCGAGGGCCCGAGGATGGGCCAAGGGGGAATTCCGGGAACCGCGTGGCCGGGGGCCCTGCCCGGGCTGGCTGGCCGGCCCTGCTCCTGTATAAGGCCCCGAGCCCGCTGTCTCAGCCCTCCACTCCCTGCAGAGCTCAGAAGCGCGACCCCAGCTGCAGCCATGAAGTGCCTCCTGATCACCCTGGGCCTGGCCCTCGCCTGTGGCGCCCAGGCCATCATCGTCACCCAGACCATGAAGGACCTGGACGTCCAGAAGGTTCGAGGGTGGCTGGGTGGGTGGTGAGTTGTAGGGCGGGCAGGGGAGCTGGGCCTCAGAGACCAAGGGAGGACAGAGGAGGCTGTGACGTCTGGGGTTCTCATCAGCCAGCTAGAGCCGCCTGACAAATCCCCGCCAGCGCGGCTTCAGTGAGGCGTTTACTGTCTTGCATTCTGGAGGCCGGAAGCCCGAGATCCAGGCGTCAGCCGGGCTGGCTTCTCCTGCGGCTGCTCTCTGGGGAGCAGAGAGTCGTCTTCTCCCTGTGTCCTCTGCGCGCCCTGATTTCCTCTTCCTGTGAGGTCACCAGGCCTGCTGGATCCGGGCCGCCCGCACAGCCTCATGTGACCTTGGTCATCTCTTTAAAGGCTGTGTCTCCAGAGTCATGTGTTGAGGTTCTGGGGGTTCACGGGACACAGTTCATCCCCTAAAAGGGTCGCTCTGCCCCTCAAATTTTCCCCACCTCCAGCCGTGTCTCCCCAAGGTCCAAACGTTGCCACACGTGCAGGGGCTCATCTGGGTCCCTCTTTGCGCTCAGAGTGACTCTGGGGAGAGCATTCCTCAGGGTGCAGAGTTGGGGAGGTTGTCTCAGGGCTGCTCAGGCTGGGGTGGGACAGAGGGCCCACTGTGGGGCTGGGGGGCCTGGGGACCCCTTCCCTCCCCTGGAGTGCAGCTCAAGGTCCCTCCCCAGGTGGCGGGGACCTGGTACTCCTTGGCCATGGCGGCCAGCGACATCTCTCTGCTGGACGCCCAGAGTGCCCCCCTGAGAGTGTACGTGGAGGAGCTGAAGCCCACCCCCGGGGGCGACCTGGAGATCCTGCTGCAGAAATGGTGGGCATCCCCCCCCCCCGGCATGGAACCGCCACTCCTCAGGGCAGTGGGCCCCCCCGGCATGGAACCCCCACTCCCCAGGGCAGTGGGCACCCCCCCAGCATGGAACCCCCACTCCCCAGGGCTGTGGACCCCCCTGGCATGGAACCCCCACTCCCCAGGGCTGTGGGCCCCCCCTCGGCAGTGGCATGCAGGCAGGACCAGGGCCCCAGGGCCGGGGAAGGGGGCTCGGAGTTTCCTGGAACCCCTGGAGTCCTCCCAAGGCTGCCCACCCAGGGCTCTTTATTTTTTTTTTAAACTTTTATTAATTTGATGCTTCAGAACCTCATCAAACAAATGAACATAAAACATCATTTTCGTTAACTTGGAAGGGGAGATAAAATCCATTGAAGTGGAAATGCATAGGAAACATACATACAGTAAGGCAGGTATTCTGAATTTCCTATTAGGTTGAGGATTACAAATGCATTTGAGCAACGAAGAGACATTTTCATCCTTTCTAGTCTGAACACCTCAGTATCTAAAATGAACAAGATGTCATGGAAACAAAGCAGTGTGGGGAGAGGCCCGTGTGAAGGCCTCTGGGCAGCTGCTGACCTGGGTCCTCGGCGCCCAGGCAGTTCCCATTACCAGCCCTGTCCACCCTCAGACGAGGGTCAGAGTGCAGGAGAGAGCTGGATGGGTGTGGGGGGCAGAGGTGGGGGTCTGAACCCCAGGACTGCCTTTTAGGGGTGCCTGTGATCAAGGCACTCCCCGACCTTTTCTCCCTGGCTCCATCTGACTTCTCCTGGCTCATCCACCCGGTCACCTGTGTCCCAAGAGGTGACAGTGGGTGTAGCCGAGGCTGGTTGGCCAGCCAGCCCCTATGCCCATGCCACCCCCCACCAGCTCCTCCTGGGGCCGGCTTCTGCCCCTGGCCCTCAGTTCATCCTGATGAAAATGGTCCAAGCCCAAGGCTCAGAAAGCAGCTGTCTTTCAGGGAGAATGGCAAGTGTGCTCAGAAGAAGATCATTGCAGAAAAAACCGAGATCCCTGCAGTGTTCAAGATCGATGGTAAGTGTCGGGTCCCTGGGGGAGGCCCACGACACCCACCGGGGGCTATGGGCAGGTGCAGGGGGCTGGCGTTGGGCCCCGGGATGCTAAGGGGCTGGTGGTGATGAAGACACTGCCGTGACACCCGCTTCACTGGCCTCCCCGCTGCCTGCCCAGGGCCTTGGGGCGGGTGGCCGTGGGCAGGTCCCGGCTAGGCAGGTCTGACTCCCCAGGGCGATTCCCGAGCTCTCTTTGCTATGGGGGAGGGCAGAGCTCGGGGCCCTCAGGCTGAGCCCAGAAGGCACCTGTGCCCTCCCAGGGGGAACCGAGAGCCACTGCCCTCTCCAGGGGTCCAGGAGCCCCGTGACCCCCAGCCCACTCCACGGGCTCCTTCATCTCCTGGAGAAGAACTCTGTCCGCCCTCGCTCGTTCACTTGTTCCTCCTAAATCGGAGATGAGAAAGCTTCAGGGGGGTCCACCAGGCAGCCTGGGCCACGTCTGCCCTTGGCCCCTCAGGACTCACTCTGACCAGAGGCCCACTCGCTGACTGATGCCAGGGTGCCCAGCCCACGGTCTCCAGTGCCATCCGGCTGCACTGGGTTTGGATGCTGGTCCTGCCCCCCAAGCTGCCCCCCAGACACCACAGGGCAGCTGGGGCCACCCGTTGGCCTCGGTCAGGGCGAGCCCCAGCTCCCCCCACTCAGGGCTGCCCCCCAACAATGCCCCCGTCCTTAGGACGCACCCCTCCTCCCTCGCTGGGTGGTGTCCAGCCCCACCCGAGATCAGGGGGAAGCCCTATCTCTTGAGCACTCTGGTCCCTGGGGGAAGGGGGCCTCAGACTGAGTTGTGAGTGTTCCCAAGTCCAGGAGGTGGTGGACGGTCCCCGCAGACCCAGAGTTGAGAGCCGGGGCTCCCCGGGCCCCATGCGCCTGGCAGCGGTGGCAGGGAAGGAGCCGCACCATTTCGGGGGTGGAGGACGCCAGAGGTGCTCCCCACCCTGTCCTCGACGGGTGGTGACCCCAGGGGAGCCCCGCTGGTTGTGGAGGCAGGGCTGGGGGCTGGCCAGCACCCCCCTCCTGCTGGAACTCACTTCCCTCCCGCCCTGGTCTCTTCCAGCCTTGAACGAGAACAAAGTCCTCGTGCTGGACACTGACTACAAAAAGTATCTGCTCTTCTGCATGGAAAACAGTGCTGAGCCCGAGCAGAGCCTGGCCTGCCAGTGCCTGGGTGGGTGCTGACCCTGCCCAGGGAGCCCAGCTGTGTGGTCCTCACTGCAACGGGGGGCGGGGGGGGGGGGGCGGGGAGCTCGATCCCCAGGAGGAGGAGGGATGCGGGGGTCCCTGAGTCCTGTCAGGAGAGAGTGGTCACTTGCCGGGACCTGGTCTCCTGTGGGCCTGTGGGTGACTGGGGACGGGGGACAGACACACGGGCTGGGAGACAGGTGGGCTGCAGCACTGTGACTGGTGCAACCATCTCGATGGAGCCGGCGGTCACTATGAATCTAACAGCCTTTGTTACCGGGGAGTTTCAATTATTTCACCGAATAAGAACTCAGGCACAAAGCCATCTTTCAACTATCACGTCCTGAGAACAAATGGCAGGTGACATTTTCCATGCCGTAGCAGTGCCACTGGGCGCTTTCAGGGCCCCTGTGCCAAGCGGGAGTGGGCACTGGGGAATGGAGGCTCCTGGCCGTGTCAGCCGGCCCAGGGGGAGGAGGGGACCCAGACAGCCAGAGGTGGGGGGCGGGCTTTCCCCCTGTGACCCTGCAAACCCACTGCACTGCCCTGGGAGGAAGAGGAGGGGACTGGGCCAAGGGGGAAGGGCAGGTGCCCTGGAGAGCAAGGGCAGACCTGCAGACCACCCTGGGGAGCAGGGACTGACCCCCGTCCTGGCCCCACAGTCAGGACCCCGGAGGTGGACGACGAGGCCATGGAGAAATTCGACAAAGCCCTCAAGGCCCTGCCCATGCACATCCGGCTCTCCTTCAACCCGACGCAGCTGGAGGGTGAGCACCCAGGCCCCGCCCCGCCCCCGGGGCAGGAAGCCATCCGGCCCGGGACACCCCCTCCCATGGTGACTCCCAGCTCCCCAGGCCTCCCGGGAGGATGGAGAGGGGGTGCAGGGCCCTGAGGTGGGCCCCTCTCTACCCGTGCCAGGGGCCTCTTCCCAGGGCGTCCAGTCCCTTCCTGACCCCCCACTACTCTCCCTCCCCCACAGAGCAGTGCCGCGTCTAGGTGAGCCCCTGCCGGCGCCTCTGGGGTAAGCTGCCCGCCCTGCCCATGTCCTGGACACACACGTGGGGTAGGGGGTCTTGGTGGGGCCTGGGATCCCCCATTAGGCCCTGGGGTTGCCCAGTGGGAATGGCTGGAAGCTGGGGTCCCTCCTGGCAACTGCAGAGCCGGCTGGCCGTGTGCCCACTCTTGTGGGGTGACCTGTGTCCTGGCCACACTCACACACTGACCTCCTCTAACTCCTGGGCAGAGCTAAGGGCCAAGGTGGAGGTCCAGGAAGTGGGCACCTCAGGGGAAGGCTAGGGGTTCCTTTTCCTGAGGAGGGGCCGTCCTGCACCCCGAGCCGTGGAGAGGCTGGCAAGGGTCTGGCAGGTGCCCCAGGAATCACAGGGGAGCCCCATGTCCATTTCAGGGCCCGGGAGCCTTGGCCCCTCTGGGGACAGACGACGTCACCCCTGCCTCTCCCATCCGGGGGACCAGGAGGGACCGGGACAGCGGTCACCTCTCCTGGGACCCAGGCCCCTCCAGGCCCCTTGAGGGGCCTCCTGCTCGGGGCCGCTCCTCCTTCAGCAATAAAGGTGTAAACCTGTGTGCTCCCTCCTGAGTCTTTCCTGGACGATGGGCAGCGAGTGCAGGCCGGGGGCAGGGTGGGGAGTGGTCTGGCTCAGAGGGTGACGGCGGGGCTGGGAGCCAGGACATCTGCATCACAGCCTTGTGACATCCGGGGGCCCACACACATCACTGCGGCTCTTTGAAACTTTCAGGAACCAGGTAGGGACTCGGCAGAGACACCTGCCAGTTAACTTGGAGTGTTCAGCCAACACCCAAACTCCACAAAGGACAGGAAGTGGAAAATGGCTGTCTCTTAGTCTAATAAATGTTAATATGAAAACTCAAGTTGCTCATGGATCAAATTCTGCCCTTTTACAAATCCAGCTGCTACTTTCGGTGTCAAACTTCATGTACCCAAAACTCACTGATCTTTTCTGTGCTAAAATGAAATAGAGAGATTTCCCCAGGATAGAGGAGCTGAACAAAGGAGGTCATGGTTAGAAAGAGACTTGTTCTGCACACACATCTGAGCATCACAAATAGAAAAGAGGTATATAGCAACAGACATGGGGATTTTTTAAATGATAAGAGTAATTTACACATAACATAGTATATACTCATATTTATATATCTACGTGAATGCTCACTCAGTCGTATCCGACTCTGGGACCCATGGACTGTAGCCCTCTAGGCTCCTTCTGTCCCCAGAATTCTCCAGGCAAGAATACTGGAGTGGGGAACCATTTCCTCCTCCAGGGAATCCTCCCGACCCAGGGATCGAACCCGCATCTCCTGCATTGGTAGGCGGTTTCTTTACCACTGCGCAACCAGGGAAGCCGTGTTACTGTCTGTGTCCCACTTAATTACCAAAGCTGCTCCAAGAAAACCCCCTATGACTCTGAGCTTCCTGGCCTGCAGGGGGTGGTGGGGGGAAACTGTGACCTGGGAACACCCCTCCCGCTTCAGAACTCCCGGGCCCCGTGACCCATACTCCTGCAGGCAGCCCGGTGGTACTGCTTTTCACGGCTCACTATCTTAAAAAAAACTGAGGTCTATTTTGTGACTTCACTGCTGTAACTTCTGAACACCCAGAGCGTTGGACGGCCTCCTCCCCAGGCCTCAGGGGCTTCGGGGCGCCGGCCTTCACCCACGAGTCACCATACACAAGGGGGTGGCCCCGCCTCCAGGGAGCTCACAGTCTTCCCATCGTCCTGATCAAAGAGAGAGAGAGATCAATGACTTCTTAGGAGCAAGCGGACACCCGCAGGACACAGGTTCACCAGACCAAGCTGATCCTTTTGAACCTAAAGACACATGGCTCTCAAAGGTTTTCTTGGTTTGAATCTGGATTTAACGCCTATTTGCCCCTCAAGAGGGAAGACACTCATGCATGTCCCCAGGACAGCCGCTCGGTGGCATTCGAGGCCACTTAGCATTATCTGACCGCACCCTGGGATTAATTGGTCTAAACTGTACAAAAACCTTGGTGGGAAATTTCATCCCAGAGGCTCAACCATCCTGCTTTTACTACCCTGCATCTTTTTTTCTTTTATGTGTATATATATTTTTTTTCATTTTTTGGCTGTGCTGGCTCTTCGTTGCAGTTCAGAGCACAGGCTTTCTCTCTAGTTGCAGTTTGAGAACTTCTCTCGCACAGTCTCTAGAATGCATGGGCTCAGTAGCTGCGTCGGGCAGGCTTAGACACCCCTTGGCATGTGGGGTCTTTGTTCCCTGACCAGGGATCAAACCCGCCTCCCCTAGACTGGAAGGCAGATTCTTAACCACTGGGCCACCAGGGAAGTCCCCTACCTGCCTGCATCTTAACCTAGAAAACTGCAAGCGCAGGAAGATTCAGAGCCTCTGTAACTGTTATAGGTGAATCTGGTTAGCATCCCCTGCCAGTCACCTGCAGTGGGGCAAGCCCGCTCTCCGTGATGTGCCAGTCCCACGTTAACCAGACGCGTCAACTATAATCCTTTCTGACTTAGGCTCTGATGCCTTAGCCTGGTGACTGTCCTGGGCCTGCTAAGGCTGGGCAAGCCCAGTGACCGCCACATGTGAGCCACGCGAGTGGGGGGCCCAGCTCAGAACCTCACGGGTGCCTCTGACTTGTGTGAGCAGGGACAGACTGAGGAGGCAGGAGGGGCAGGAAGGAAGGAAGGGAGGGGGTCTGGGGAGCACCCCTGCCCATCCACGCCTGGATGAAAGCCCCTACTCCCCCCGCTTTCCAGATCTAGCTGTTTCCGGTCCGGGGCTGCTCCCTATGCCCTTCAGAGAGGCCGTTCTTTGGTGATGTATTCGCTGTCTCAGCAGAGTTCTTTACATTTTCAGCTTGTGCATCTTTTTCAGAAAGGGTTTAAGTCTTGGGTGCTGCTTCCTATTAAAGAGGCCAGCAGATCACGAGCAAGGCTGAGCTGGATCCTCGGCTGTGCTCACAGGGGCAGGCCCACAGAACGCACCTGACCGCAAGAGGAGGCCAGGGAGGGCGGGGGAGAGATGCCGGGGAAAACAGGCACCAGCAGGGGCCCCCAGGGCAGCGGCGGGGGCGAGGTATCTTTGCCCTTCTGGTCTGGCGGATGGATGGACAGATGCCACAGGAGGCAGGCCGGGAGGGGACAGCTGGGCCCCAAGAGTGAGCAGGCCCACCTCCCACGGCTCCCAGGACAGAGCAGCAGGATGAAACGGCCCCGACAGCCTCAGTGCCAGGCCAAACGACACCCTAAACACAAGGCAGGTAGCAAAGTGGCCGCCATCCCTGGGGAGCGATTCTGGAACTTTCCGGGAGTCCAGCTGGGACAGCCGGGTGGGCAGCAAGTGGCGGCTGGAGGACGGGCACAGAGAAAGGGCCCCGGGAGCCCAGCCTCTCCCCTCTGCAGCCGCGTGGTCTGCGGAGAGGGCCCCTCCTGCTGCCAACCCTCAGTCTGAGCCTGGCTGGGCCTGGCTGGGCCCGGAAGACTCTAGCAGTGCCTGGGCAGCCAGGCTTTGACTCCCAAACGATGACCACAAGGCGCAGCCCTGGGACAAGGGCCTGGGTGCTCGTGTCAAGCTGAGGCAGCGCTCGGGGCCGGCAGGAGAAGGCCGGACAGGAAAGACACGCGGGCGAGGGTGGGGTGTCTGTCCCCCGAGACGGGAGCCAGGGCCTCTGCACTCCTGTGCTGCCAGACAAACTACAGCTGCTGGGACCAGCAATCAGGCAGTGGGGAGAGGGGACCCAGGGCCTGGCTGAGCACTGGCCATGTCACTGCTGGGACCCCAAGAGGGGCCAGTCCTGGGGGTGAGGAGGACTGACCCCACCTGCCCCTCCCCCTCACTGTGCTGGTCTGAGGTCAGTTTCAGGACGCCCCTCTCCCTCCCTGGACCCGGGCATCGTGTGTGGAGTCCCCAGTGGACAGTGCCTGGACAGGAGGTGCTGAAGGCAGTCGGGGAGAGGGCGGTCAGGAGGTGGATGCTCCCCCCGCCCAAGCCTGTGGGCCCCCTGACCACCCAGGCAGCACTCAGCCCTGAGACTCACCCCAAGAACCAAGACTGGGGGCTCCGGGAGCCACGTGGCCAAGGAGCCTCACCCACCCTGTGCCCACACCCCTGCAGGTGGGAGGGCGCTGTCTGACCAACCAGCTGGCCGCCAGCCACGCACACCTGGTCTCCCCAGCTGACCCCCAAGACTCGCTCTCACTCTCCACGCCATCTGGACCCGAGATGAGGACGCAGAGCTCATCTTGCCCTGGACGTGAGTGTGTTCCCTACAGCTCTTGGGGCCTCCCAAGGGCCAGGCCAGTGGTCAGAACCAGAGGGACATGTGGTTCAAAGTCGAAGGCCGAACTTCAGAACCTCAGAAGCTTTTTGAGGAAGGGCCGGCGGGAAACGCACATACAGCCCCTTACTGCGGGTAGGGGAGACCAGTCGCAGGGGCCAGGATCTGTGCTGACCGCAAAGATGTACCATAGCCTGGATAGTCATGGCCAGACACCATGCAGCCGCCCTACAGTCCCCGAGTCTGTTGGCACACAGCCCCTCCCCCCGTGAGATACTGAGTTCTCCTGCGTGGGGGGCACAGAGCGGGCAGCCTAAGGTCAGCTCAAAGCCCAGGTGACCGGGCACAGCCAGGCCCCAGGCCCCACCCCGAGACCTGGAACTGCCAGCCGAGGATGGAGTGGGGGCCAAAGCCCCTCCTGCCCCATGCCGGCACCCCGTGGGCCAGCCCCCTTCTCTGGCTGGGAGACCTCCAAAGCCCAGGGGTCCGAGAACCTGGGGGATGCAGGAACCCCAGAACCTAGCACAGCACCAGGCCAGGAGGGTGACCCCAGGTAAAGTCTCTTGTCTTTCCCAGAGGAGAAGGGGTGAGCAAAGGACTGAAGGTCACCGTCCATCCCACGGGGCCCCGAGGCCAGTCCCAAGGCCCCGGTGAGTAGCCCACCCCTCCAGCCTGGGTCCTGCAGGGGGGCAGGGTGGGG